AACTTTCTGAGGGTACAATTAGAAACAGCAGAATACCAATAAAGAGCAGGAAGAAGAAACAATCTGTACTGGTGTATTCCTTCTCTGTAAGAAGGATGGTAAAAGCATTATTATTATTGATATCTGTATTACGCAGGGAAGGTCAGCAAAAAATGTTGCTGTTTTTCAGCTTCATTTTGCATCACTGGCAAACATTCACACTTTTAGCAGCATGACTCTATCGACAGCCGGTCCAGCACTTTGGTCCAGACTGAGTAGATCGATTGCCTTGAAATAAAGTAAATCCCGAGAGGATGAATCCTGACTTTGCTGATCCCTGACTTTTCCTCAAACACCACCATTGACATTTGGGGTTTCAATGAAATGTCTCAAGAACTATTGGATGGATTTCCACAATATTTGGTAGACACATTCATATCTACCTCAGGATTAACTGTAATAACTTTAATCATCCTTTGACTTTTCATCCAACGCCATTGTCAAGACAGCTTTTAATTTGTCCAATACTTTGGTTTATAAGGATTAGGGTTAGACTAACATGCTAAACCATGATGGCAATCTTGGTTAACATAATATCAGCCCAGCATCAGAGTCTAAGCATTGTCATTTTAAGCATGTTAGCATACTAAAGTTGATATTTATATCAAAACAGCTTCACATAGCCACTAGCATGGCTGTAGACTCGCAGTCTTGGCGCTAATGGAAACACAATTTTCTACTGCCAGGATCTTGGCAACTCATTTTCAAACTGGCAACCTTGCACTCATTAGCTAACCACTTTGGTCTAAAGCTGTCCAATAATCTAAATTTAAACAGAAGGAAAAAAAAGTATTTTACAACCTCAAGCTGTGGGTATGTGATTCATGTGCAGCTGTGGATCTGCAAGAATAGCTTTTATACTATTTACAAAATTGGCTCCAAAATGGACCCATAGGCCAAAGTTGTCCTGCCGCAAGATTTGATTTGGCCCGCCAGTTGTTTCTAGCAAAAAAATGTAAAATGTATTTCTCAATCAATCTATCAATCTTAGTATATGCTGATCTATTGTTTGTTGGGGGGAAATGCTCTGTAAATATACAGATTCTGTTATCTTTCATCATCTGATCAGAAACTTTGCTATGTCAAAGGAACTTAGGATCCTAGTAACAGTTTGCATCTTAATGATACAATACAATTAGGTCTTTGCTTTTGGTCAATGGCCCACCGTTAAATTTCAGTACCTCCCTCTAAGGGAAAAACATTGGGCACCCCTACTTTAAGGTGTCCTACAGACAGTCTGCAGTCAGACTTCCTGAAGCTTTCCCTGTTCAGCTGCTGGAAAACAACTTGCATCTCTCAGCAGGCTGACAAAGTCTTAGTTTACAGGAGCAAAACTGAAAAGGAACAACCTGCCGTGTGATACTCAGTTAGATCTGATTGGTCTGTGATGTTCAAAAAATTGTAGCTTATGCTTTTACTGCTACATTTAGTGCTACAGTTTTCTGAATTCCTTTACACAGCAGCCAGACTTCAAGAGATAATTTGTTGTTTTCAATGAAAGCTGAGTGTGTGAGTACATAAACAAGTTTAAGCTGGCTGGCCTGTTTGTGGACCATATCTATGATGACAGCCACATGCTTTATTCAGAGTACCACATGCCCAGAGGCTGCATTAGATTCTGCAGTTTTCTGCGACTAACTAACTGGAATAATTGGTCTCTCTGCCCTTTTACGGTGGATTTCTCAGTGTATTTTTGAACATAAGTTGGAGTCAAGACAGTCCTTTCTGATGAAGAAGAAGTTGCTCTCTTCAAAGCCAGCAGACTCCAAAACCAGTAAACTTACCTCACAGAATTCAGGAGTTGCTGGTCTACCGCCGCCTCGATCAGTCAGTTTGTTTATGTTAATGCGTGACTGAAGTGTTTTAACCAAGCAACAACTTCTGTGGTTGAAAAAGTAGAAGAATATGCCATAATATGGCCCTTGAGGCTGGCTCCAAAAGTGAGTCAATCACCATAAGGCCCCATGTTAAAATGTCCAAAGTTACAGCAGGAATAAACACAGCCTGGTACAAAAAACGGTTTTGGTCTCTTTAGCTAAATTCCCTGTTCATGACAACTGCATGGGGGGTTTTCATTTAAATGATATTAAGGCTTGAAGTTATGCACATTTAAGAGCGTGTCTGCTTCAAGTGACAGGCAGATGCCGTCACAACCATCGTCTGGATCACCATTAGAGACAATGGCTCCTATCTGATCGCACCTTTCAGTTAAATTATGGTCTCTGTAAACTTGAGGCTGACCTGCCCTATTCCACTACCTTCATGTTAAGAACACACAGTGACTCTATCATGCTGTTAATATCAGAAAGCGATTAAACGCACAGTGACTTTACTGCCCTGCGGGAAGCTGTTTCACATTCTGACTTCCTTGAATCTCATCACATAAGCCCCAGCACTTTTCTACCTCCGGCTAACAAGTCCTTGGGAGATCCATCTGTGGCTGTTAAAACATGTATTCCTACTTTGTTGTCATTTAGTACCACTTCCATAATGAACATTGAGCTGTCTGCAAGGGAATGTGAAGCTGAGTCTGAAACCTGCGGCTGGGATCCATCCACCTCTGCAGCCTTAACTTATTATGCTGCTGTGCTTTATGGTCTGTGCATGATGAGTGTGCTGCTGGGCCAGGCTGGCTGAGACAAACAAGAGATAGACAGAGATAGAGAGAGAGAAACAGAAGGTGGGAGAATGAAAAGGGCAGAAAAATACAAACCAAAACTAAAGAGGAAAATGAGAGATAGAGCCACTGATTGCAACAAAGCTGGACCAAAAGGAAACTGAGCTAATATCAGTTTCTCCCTGAACACAACTGAATGAGAGCAAATTGTAAAATATGCAGATATAATTGACTTTAAATGTGAAATTGCTAACATGTTTTTGTAAATGAATTCAATACATCCAAGACTCTCTCAATCCCTAAAAGGTGTGGTGGGTAAAATTGCTTTGAGGAGCTGCAAACCCTGAAACAATGCCATCACTGAGTCTCAGTGGAGGGTTTTAATGTCCTGTTAGAGTGGGCTAAATGCTGTTTCAGACACTTTTACTTTTTCACTGACAGGGGAAAAAAACAGTGTGGGAAAACAGAGGCATTAGCATTGGTTGAAATCCCCTTATGAGCGAACTCGTAACAGCTCAGCACAGAAGGAGGTGATGACAGAAACAGAAAATCACCTGAAGAAAGAAAACAGCAGGAGAGGGTATATATGCAGAGGGACAAGTGAAGAGATGTAGCCAAGAAACAGGAAGAAAACATGCAGGAGGGAGGGGAGGAAGAGAGGAGGAATTATGGAGGAGCGATCCAGCGACACAGTGGCACCTCTCTGATTCAGATAAAGCAGGAGGGCAGAGATCCAGGTAGAGGACAGACATAAAGACACAGCAAGCCTGGGTGGAGAAACAGAAAGACAGGAGGGGACAGGACAGGAGACAGGACGCAACCAGGAGAAAGAAATATGCTGACAGGAGAACGTAGGAGGACAGAAACTGACAGAGAACAGCAGGAAGAAAGCACAGAAAGAAAAGAGCAACGAGCAGAAAGAAGAGTCGGGGAGGAGAGGACGAAGACTATAGCAGCACATCTGAGTCAGAAAGAGTCATAAAAAAGGAGAGAAGCGGCTAAAGGAGAGAGACAGCAGGAGGTAAAGACAGAAGGTAGGACGAGATAGAGAGGAGGAGGCTTCTATGGGAAAAACACTGAAAAATGAAGATATTTTAGACAAGCTGTAGATATTTTTTACAGGAGGGAAGGTAGAAGAACACTAGAAGGATGGGTGAAGAAGAAGCAGGTTAAAAATCATCAGGAAGCCAAAAAGGAGAAGATGGTTGATGCTGACAAGGAGCAAATCAAAACACAAAAAGGAGATTAAATAAAATGCAGAAAAGAAGAATCGTCAAAGGTGGCATATCAAAAGAAGAGAATAAAACCGAGGGATGGAGAACATTTACAGCCATCTGCTTCAATTACATACAAGCATGTCTCATTACACACTGAGATTCAGATTCAATTCATCTCCATTTCTAGCCTCCCTTTATCCAGATTCTCTCGGCTTGGATTTCTTTCTCTCACCTCCCCTCCTCATGCAGGGGAGCAGACATGCCGCCACATTCACAGCTGAGGCAAACTGCATATTCACAGGACAGTATGTTGGTATGAAATAACTTAACAAGGACAGGAGAACAGACAGTTTCTCCTTCATTTATCCATCACCGAAGTCAAACATTCAAACCAGCAACCTCCTTTAGCCCCCAACCTGCACTACCTTTTCCTGGCACACACCTTTACACTCTAGCTGCTCTCTGGAGTGTGTGAGCACAAACGTGGCTGAGTCCCAGGATGCTCATCGTGCTGCGCTGAGCACCACATTAACCAGAAAATAGAGCGATAACGTTGTTTTACGCACACAGTGGATGAACTGGAAATGGAAATGAAATGTTGCTTTTGACTGGGAGATATGGTCTCAAAGTCTCTTTGAGCATTTGCAACTGCGACACCATAGTTATGCAAAGTTCTCCATGAGGGATTGTAATCATTTAAACCCTGGAAGTAAATAAACAGATAATTAAAATGCAGAATGCAAAATAGCTGAGATAGCTATAACCGCCAGCCACTGTAAAAACTGATCAAGTTCTCCCAAATAACAGAAATATAATCATTATCATTCACATCAAACCGCTTAAACTCTTTATTTCTCTCTTACAACTGAGCGCTGGTGCGTAACTGAGACGCGCAAAAACACACAGTCTTACAAAAAACATCTCTATACTTTAACCAGTTAAGACAGCAAGTAAACGAGTCAAACAGCTGAATATTACTATATCCAAAAAGCAGAAGCCTTGTGTTTTCCCAGGTGTTTTGACAGAAGGATAAATCCCCGTTTTTAAAGCCGCCTCCCCGGGTCTGCGCTGCCCGGACTCGCTCAGTCTCCTCCGGGGAAAAGTAAAAAAGCGCACAGCCTGCTCACCTTCTCCGGTTGTCCCGTACGAGCTGGACAGAAGCAGGACGACCTGAGCGATAATCCCAGCGACTCTTTTAGTCCCCATGTCCATGATGAAGCGACGGGAGGCTGCAGAGAAGCCCGGCGGCTGCTGGAGGAGAGAGACGGCCAACCTCTCCTCTCCAGCTCCAAGAGAGGTCTCCTCAAACCCGACTGAGGGAGCAGAGGAGAGGCAGAGAGACCGAGAGAGAGAGAGAGAGAGAGAGAGAGAGAGAGAGAGAGAGAGGTCAATGAAGTCTGCTGTGCAGTATGTTGTTTTCTTCGGCAGCTCTGTGTTTGGAGCCAAACTGATATGCGCGCAGTCTCTCTCATTCACACACACTCACGCACATACACACACACACACACACACACACACACACACACACACACACATACACACGCAGCTCTCAGTTATATGTATAAGTTGTCATTTCAAAGGCTCTAGTTAGAATTTCCTCTTTGGGGATGATATAGTTCCTCTTTAGTGTCACCACATGGGATGGCTGCCACCTCCAGGAGCCTGGTGGGAGTCAGGTCATCAAAGAGATTCATCTCACCTGATCTGGTGGCAAGACTCTATAAGCTGGAGGCAGTCAGCCAGCCTTTTCTCTCTCCCCTGGCTTCCACCCTGTTTGTTTTTGTTGTATTTAGTTGGTCTTTAGCTTCATTTATCTTTTAATTATGTAAAATAAACTTATTTGTAGTTATAATTCATGTGTGTTTTTCCCTCCTTTGTAAGCACATGTTGGATGCAAAAGAAGTTGGATATCTTATTAATATTTGGACAGAAATATTAGGCTAAAGTGAAACCATGGAAGTAAGTAGGACTGTCCCAAAATAGTCGAGTGAACTGTCGTCGATGCATTTTTCATTAGTTGGATAGTCACAGAAAAACAAAACTACCACTAGCATAGGAGCGGAGTGGAATGAGACCAGAGTGGCGTGAAGGGAGAGTAGTGAGTTTGTAGTGTGATGGAAGTTATTTATTCCATCAGATCAGTTTTGAACAATGAGACTTGTATGATATTATATTCGGCTATTATACATCGTTAATAAATAATTAAATTAATATCATAAACGTTTGATGACTAGTTGACAAGGAAAAACCAGAGAACAGCCATGTTGCTGCACCTATCATGCTACGCTATCTGTTAATAATACAAATGTTTTGCATTTACGCTAATTGCTTACTTTAAGGCAAAACAATTGGCTGGAAATCAGGCACTGAAAATAGACATCAGATTTATTTAAAAAGAGGCAAGGCAGCTGGACTTCATCATGCAAGGTTTCATCTGGCCAGGTTTCAGTCGATGCATTTGTTGCCCAACTACAGTGGTTCTGGACCAATCAGCATCCTTATTGAAGTACTGGCAGCTACCGGGGTGGGCGCTAGGTGTGACACAGTGAGTAGACGCTGTTTGTTAAACAACAATGGCGGCTCACATGGAGGCTGCCAGCATCAGTTACATCAGAACTGGAGAGTATCTCTTCATTGCAAGAAGTGCAAAGAAAGACACTGAAGGCTATATACCACCCCAATTAAGATAAAATAATTGGGGGATAAAGCTTTGTATTAAGAGTTGTGCTACAATTTGGATGGACAAAGCTAAACATGTAAAAAAAAAATCATATCGGCACAAAGGATCAGGACAGATATGAGTTACAGCCCTAGGGGGCTCAGAAATCAAGTACTGTACAGATTGTTAGCTGTAAAACAGAAATAAATGAGTAAGACAGGATGAAAGATGATAAAAAAACAAGAATAGAAATCAGTGGGAGGCAGATCATAAAGACCCAACGGGAAACGTGAACCCAGAATAGATATGAGAAGACTTATGTGAGCCTATCCAGGTCATAAGAGAGTCGTGCTGTCTTATCGTACTGTATGAATCTGAATGAAATAGACCAGATGGGTACAAATGGATTCCCACTAACCAACTTTGCAGCTAAACCGTTTTTAAGAGGATAGGCATTTAAATTTAGTGTAGAATTGTGTGAATTCAACCAATAAGTAATTTCAGCAGCGAGGAGGAGGTGTCAAGTCAACTTTAACCAACTTTTATTCTCTTCTTCAGATTGACTTTCTTACAAATGAAGAACAGAAAGGATGAATTAGAGTAACTGTCCATCAGTACAGAGATTAACTGAATCAGGCTTCATGATTTTTTCAGCGTGAATGTTGTCAAACCAATGATTTGGCTGAACTTTGTCAAAAACAATCTGGCTGACTTGGGGAAAAAGAGATTTGACGTTACACTATTCATGCTAATACCATGATCATCTGTAATACTAACTTTGATTGGCTAACATGTGTCCATTGAAATTGTCTAACCTCTATTATACAATAAAGGACGCTGGTTGAACTATGTTCTAAATGAAGTATCTTAAAAATAAATCGAAGTGGCTGTTAAAGGTTTTAATTGGTTTGATTCCAATTTTGAGACATTTTTTTCACAGTGGAAAAAACATGAGCAAAACATCCAAAGAAACCTCTCAAAGCACTCCTGCAGCATAATCCACTTCTAGCTATAAATTCAGTATGTTGTTAAGTCACAAACATATGGTTCTATACACTTCCAGCAGAGCTGCAGAGCTACAGAGCTTTAACAAAAGCACAGCAGCATCTCAACAAAGCAGTGTGTTTAAGTAGATGCATTTTTGTGACATTATGTCATCTTGGAACAGCAAAAAAAAAAAAAAGGATTGCGCAAGATTTCTTTGGCATGAAAGCCTGTCAACATTGGAATCCATTGTGTCGTGTGAATTAATGCTTTCTGCAGCATTGTTGTAATTTTGTGAATTCAAGGTCATAGCCAGCCTTTAGGAGGTGAGTGTTTGATACTCAAAATATGGATTTTTGGTGATTTTTTACTTTGAATTACAGATAACTATAGCAGCAATTTCTATGTATCACACTTAAAACTACGAAACACTTTAAAAAGACCTAACAATTCAAACACAAACTTTTCTTTGGTAAGTGGCCATTGTATGAACATGAGAATGCACTCTGAGGGTTCCCACCAGAGAAGAAACACTATGTGCTTTGCATCAAGGCTTCCATCCTCTCTATTGTTTGCTTATATGGGGACAGCATGTCTTACATTACCCATTCAAAAAAGAGTTTTATACACAATTCAGAATTAATGAGAGGTGCACTTAGCGGCATTAATTAATGAATGTAATAATGAATACTGGGCATTCAGCACTGGTGGACCCCTGGTGTACCCATGTTCAAAAAAGAGGACAAAAGTGCCCTTTCGGAGGCTCCCTGTGGTAGATAAACCATGATAAAGTTCCCTCTAGGGTTCTAATCCTAACTCTGACTTAGCTGTTTCACCATAAATGCATCACAACTTTATGTGCGCCTGTGCCCTTTATATTTCTTCGCCCCCCCCGTCCCTCAAACAGCTCGAGTCCACCATTGGCATTCAATGTAAAAATAGTGGAGCAGCAAGAAAAAAAAAAGTAGCACGCCCATTTTTCATGCATGTCACGTAGCTGGCCATGGAAACCTGAGTAAAACAGCTCCGTGTTAGCTCACATGCACATCACTGGTAGTGGACAAGAGGGGTAACTGTGAACCCACATGGGAGAGGGGCTCTTGTTTGCATTCAGCAGTGTTTGTACATTAAAAAAAAGGCAAAGCCCTGAAAACAGTGAGGGGAAAGCGAGCAGAGAAAGTCAGCGGGGGAATCTGATAATGAAAACCTACTGAGAGTATAGACAGCAGGGGAATCAGATGATAATAAACCTGTTGAGAGCAAACACAGCGGGGGAATCAGATAACACTGCAGCCAGAGTCTGCGAGAAACAGGGGATCACACCGTGCACTGACACACACACTCAGCGTGAGCGTCACACACACTCCGGTGGCCCACAGACACGCCTCACACGGAGAAAGCAGCTGGCTGCTTAATGTTCAAATCAGACGGGTGAGAGATTTTAAAACTATGCAAACCTGGGGTATGCAACAGGCTATTTATGGAGGCCATGAAGATTTTTCTGTCAGCTTTAATGTCTGAAGCTCAGAGCTTCCCCCTTTCCTCCCGAAAACCCTCCAGTTCAGGAAAAAGCATCACAGTAGAGTGATGGCACAAAGTCCCTTTTTGTTATGTGGCTTTTGTTCACGCTTTCATTGTTTGAAAAATCATTTCACCGTCTTCAGCTTTAGCTCCTGTGGAAAAGTAGAATGATGCTATTTCTGTTTTGTTAGGGGAAGATTACTTGTTGATGGTCTCAAAGGTTTGATAAAATCTCTTGGCAGTCAAGAGTGAAACTGGGCCACAGTGGCAAATGTGGGAAAAGCAATTTGTTTCATTTCAAAGAGAAACATGCTTTCACAGATATGTGTGTAAAATGGCAATCGTAACCAGAGGAATTAATAGTCACCATTAGGCGTTATGACCAGGGCTGGGCGATTGTTTGTGTTTTCATATCATCCAATCGTGGTTTCTCGAGATTGTGTGGTGGCAGTAGGAGGGGGTGGGGGGAGTTACGTCACAGCATGCCAGTGAAATACGAGCATGGACGACTTAGTCTTGGTGTTAAAGAAAAATAAAATAACTGTTGTATTTGGGGATATAATGGGTTTTACGTAGATGCAAAAGAAGAGCCTATATTACACAGCCCATTTGCAAACTATGTAAAAGGTGTGTGCCAGTGAGGGACCCTTTTAAAAGTCTGTGTCTGTGGTGGTGCGACAATATCAATTTCCGTTTAACGTTATTATCTTATCGCTAATGTCCAAAATTCCAGTTTATATCCATTAGTTAACTAGTCTTAACTGAGCGCAGAGCAAAGTTTTAGTGAGCAGGGCATATTGTTAGCCTTTCCTGCTCAGCTTCCAGACAGTAATTGGGAAGCACAGGGGAGATGTTTGATTTCCTCCTGGGCTGAAGTCTGTTCTCACTTTGGGGAAAATCCCTTTCACTTTTCCCCAAGCTGTGAAACTACCAGCGAGACTTTTCTTTTTCCTGAAAAGCTGCTGCATTTATTAACTGACAGACCTACACTGTACATTTACTGCCAGATTGACAACTTACTGCTGACCTTTTTCCTCCGCTACACAAGCATTTACCCTCATTTTTTCTGCTGCTCACTCTCACTGACTGAACTATACACACCCTATCCCTCTGTGTGTCTTCAAATCCCGCCAAGAGCGTTTCAGTAGCGACTTGCCTACCCGACATTGTTGGCTTGTGTGTTTTGTCCTTTTTCCTA